TTATTAAAAACTATAACTAAAGGAGATAAAATTATTAAACTATAGATAATTTAATCCAATCACTGTAATTTCTGAGTTATCAACTTTAATCATATCCGATTATTGTGATTCCCTGTCTGTTATATCTGAATTGCCTTAATAAAGTAAAAAGAATGCACCAAGGATGATAGAATAAAGCATTTTGATCAGGGTTATTAGTTGATCAATCTAGCAACCAAGAAAAAGTTTCTTATTCATTTCATGGAAAGATAAATTTTGTTGAACTCAAACTACAAATGTAGCTGTCATTGATAATGTAAGTTCATTTATTTTTTGTGCCTTCCTATTCGGCTCTGTATGTTCACGATTCCCTCTGTGGTTAGCTTTGTTCTTTTTTGCTATCTGCTGCTCTGTTAATCAGAGATCTGATTCTAACTTACAGCAATAATTCACGTGCAGTATCTCATACAATTGTTATTTTTCAATAGCTACACGTCTGTTTGGCCACCTCCAAGGCAAAACCAAAGATGAAATATGTCATACAATCACCAATTTTCATCTTCACAAATATTTTGATAATTTTCTTTAGCAGTATTATTACCTTCTGTTTCTTCTTTATTCTAATTTAACGTGTGTTCAGCTTACACTTAAATTCCTTTCCTTTTCCTAGAGGGTCATATATATTTGTTCTAGTTTATTACCAGAAAACAACTTGCGTTTCTTGTGTTTTAACCCAAGTAGTCAGCAATAATCGAAGACACGTTAAACTTACAGGCATTGTTAATCAGTTGACTCAACAAAGCTCAAAAATGCCATGGAACTTGATGCAGAGTTCTGTTGTTTTCCGTGTATTACACCTAACTCGGTTTTATTTCTCTGAGCTTAATCAGGGAAAATACGGATGAACAGATAAGGAATAAAAAAAGAAGAAAAAGTAATAGAAGTTTGGTCAGTGATGGCACAATTTTCTAGAAAACTTGAGCCTCAAAAGTTCTGAGCATACACTTTTTAAAATTGAGCAGAGTACAGTTTCTGAAAACAAATTCAGAAAATAAAACTAGTGGTTCAAGAAGCAAGAGGAGAGCGAAGGTATAATGTCACGGACCACAACACAATGAATAGATACGATTAAAATAAGAGGATGGTCACGAAATGAGGTTGGAGAACAATGACAACGTGGCACGGTTACTACACAACATTGACCTCCAAAGCCTCTATAATCGTCCAACTGTTTCCTTGAGAATCAGCCAGGATTCTACACGTGTCCACCTCATGCTTTTGAATTTATTCATGAACTATATCTTGTATGTTTTGAATATAAATAACCAACTTAGCTTCAGGATACTTCTTACTATAGGCCAATCTGCTTCCATCTCTTTACAAGTTAGTTTAATCTCCTCCATTTATACTTGTTGCTGTATCATTTCTGATGCTGGACTCTTGCATTCTCTTATCCACAGGTTTCAATCATCTTCAGGAGCTTTCACATTGGTGAAGTGACATTGTTAGTTTAGTGTCAAAACTCATAGAATTGAAACCTGCAATGAGTCTGATTCGATGGTATTTTATTCTATGGATTACCATGATTCTTTTTATCCATAATTGGGATAATGTGGAAGGAAGGTACCACTATCACAAAGGGCAGAAGAAAAGTCCCCCTACACCAGAGGAACCTCCTTCACCTTCACCTCCTTCCATTTCCCCTGCTGTTCCCTCTGACCCTTATCCCAGTGATCCTGGGGATTCCCCTTCAAACTGCATTTTCGATGTAAGATCCTTTGGGGCAGTTGGAGACGGTTCAGCTGATGACACACAGTCATTCGTGGCAGCATGGAAAGCAGCCTGTGCAGTAGAGTCAGGGGTTGTTCTTGTTCCAGAAAATTACTGTTTCAAGATAACTTCAACTATCTTTACAGGTCCATGCAAGCCTGGACTGGTATTTCAAGTAAGAATGCTTGTTGAATTTCCTAGTTCTTCATTCTTTCTTTTATGTTATACAACATGTTTTGTCAGAATGTTGAATTTCATTTGTAGTTCTCTTTTGTTCCTCTAATGTAGGTTACTGACAAGGTTCTAATGTAAACAGGTGGATGGTACCCTCATGGCACCTGATGGACCAGAATCTTGGCCTAAGGAAGATAGCCACAGTCAATGGCTTGTGTTCTATCGACTTGATCAAATGACTCTTACTGGGAAAGGAACCATAGAAGGCAATGGGGAGCAGTGGTGGGATCTTCCTTGCAAACCTCACCGGGTAATCATTGGATCAGAATCATATAATAACAGTTACACCCTTCTATTATTTGTTGTATACTTATTTAATGTTGAAAGAACTCAAACTAAACGGTAAAAAAATTGGCATTTCAGGGTCCCGATGGAAAAACTGTATCAGGACCATGTGATAGCCCTACAGTGAGTGAACTACTCTGTTTCTACTTATTTTTTCCAACCCACATGAACTGTCCTAAAGTGTTTCTCTTCTCAAATGTAGATGATACGGTTCTTCATGAGCTCCAATTTGGTGCTGAGTGGGGTAAAGATTCAAAACAGTCCTATGTTCCACGTGAAATTCGATGGTTGCCAAGGAGTACTGATAGACAAGCTGTCAATTTCTTCTCCTAAACTCAGTCCAAATACTGACGGAATCCACTTAGGAAACACAAAGGGTGTTGGGATATATAACTCCATGATAAGCAATGGTAAATACCAAAGAACAATGACTCATTTCTCAATATAGAACTTTTGTTCTGTTTATATTCATGCCAGAAAAGTTGTTTAGAATAATGTGATTTTTGAACAGGTGACGATTGCATCTCGATTGGACCCGGGTGCTCAGACGTGGACATAGAGGGTGTCACTTGTGCTCCCACCCATGGTATTAGGTACATGTTACATAATCAATCTTAATTTGAAGTTATATTGTGTTGCTAATTATGTTAACTTCTCATTAATGATGACTGATATACTAATAACATAAACAAATGAACCCCATTGGCATTGGCGCTTGCTAATTAGTATGATATACTATCTGTGTTTTGTTAACTGATTCTAGAACCATTTCTAAAAGCAAAACGAGTGAAAAGTGACTTCAACCAACTGCATGAGTATAGCGACTTTACAAGTTGTACCTCAAGATTCCAACTAATCTATCTTCCACAAAAGAATAAAAAGTTCCACCTTTCAAATGATCCTCACCAATTCACCAAAAAGTTAGGGTCACAGGAATTATTTGTTTACCTTCTTATTTTAGTGATCTTTCTAGGTGTATTACTTTAACAGTTGGAACAGTTCATACAGCCAATAATTAATAATACCACAGTTTCTATTCTTCATTTCTGGCCCCTCATGATTCCAGAGCAGCATCTTCTACTCTGTTGCTTTAATTAGACATTTCCATAATGTTAGTTTCAGCATTTTACACCAAATGCTTAACATTGGTCATTTTTTCCACAGCATTGGAAGCCTGGGAGTGCACAATTCGCAGGCATGTGTCTCAAACTTGACTGTTCGCAACACCATCATAAAGGAATCAGACAATGGCCTGAGGATCAAGACATGGCAAGGTGGAACGGGGTCAGTGAGTGGCCTAAGATTTGAAAACATCCAAATGGAGAATGTGAGAAACTGCATAATCATTGACCAGTACTACTGCTTGTCGAAGGAGTGTCTGAACCAAACTTCAGCAGTGCACGTAAACAATGTGATATATAGGAACATAAAGGGTACTTATGATGTGAGAACTCCGCCTATACACTTTGCTTGCAGTGACAGTGTGGCATGCACCAACATAACACTCTCTGAGATAGAGCTTTTGCCATACGAAGGGGCATTACTAGATGACCCTTTTTGCTGGAATGCTTATGGAACTCAAGAGACCATGACTATACCTCCACTTGATTGCTTAAGAGAAGGTGAACCTGATACAGTCGTGGAGCTCTCTGCCTACGAATGCAGTGCTTAACGTGTCACATTGAATTACGGTTTCCGTGGGAAGTATATCATATATGACATTGTATGCATATAGAGCAGAGAGAGATTGTGATTGTGGTGTTGTATTTGTTACTTAGGATTCGTCCCTATTTGGGGTTTCCCCTTGTGTGTGATGAGTTATAGAATTTAGTCTCCTTTTTGGGACCTACATTGTAATAGTTTGATTGGCCATTTACATATATAATATATGATAGGTTTTAACCATCAGCTTTAGATTCATTTCAAGAGTTTAAATTAAGAAATGCAGTTCATATCCGAGTCTCCAAGTGCACATTGCACTTCAAGTTGCACATTCGTACCCGTGGAACTAATTAATAGTAGTTTCAAGAACACATGTCTTGTGAGTAAAAGGTGGTGGAAAAGTTTCTATCTTTATTTGATATTTTGAATTATATAATCTAAAAATAAAAATTAACTTTTATATTAAATACTATTGTATAATTTATAAGTTTTTTGGATTGTCCAATCCAAATTGTAAAATTTTAAAGTTATTTTCTTTTTCAGATTACATAATTGAAAAAAAGGTTAAATAGAAATTTTTATATTAAAAGGTGTCGGATGAAAATATAAAATTATAGAAAGAATTTACCTGATTTTTGAGTCATTATAATTAATTTTTTTAATATATCGATTCAAGAATCACACGACTCGTTCTACGGCCGATTCTTCCCGCACCTCCCTCCATGTATCCCTACACCTCAAATTAAATAATTCCAATTTTACCTATTTTAGATTGCAGAATTCAAAAATCATTTTTTATTTCCGAATTATGCAATCTTGAAGTCATTTTTTTTCTTGAAAACAGACTTCTGGATTTACTGTTCGAAAGCCTAAATAGCTTTTGGATTATGTAATATGAGTCAAAAGTTTACAATCCAAATTTTGTTCTTAACCATTTTTGGCTTTGAGACAAAAAGTCATTTATTTAATTTTTGGATTATACAATCGATAAAGGGAAAAATATGAAGTTTCTTGGGCCATGTAATAGAAATCGGCCCAATAGTGCAATCTTACTCTTGGGCTTTTTAGACCACTAAATCACGATTCACTCTTCTCCGTTTCTAGTACCGTAAAACGCAGAGTCGTTTAGTTTCGCACGGATCGCGAATTCACGTTTTGTGCTCCTTTGCTTTGCTCGTAAACATACCTCGAGAACTCTGAACCAGAACTAGTGTTAATCGGTATTAGACAAGCGCCCACTATCCTAATTTGTTGGTTAAGTAATGTTCTCTTTTCTGCCTGCTAACTGTTCGATGAATTGCCTCTGTGTTTTTGTTTCGCAGACTCTATACCATGCCGTCCCTTCAAACTGCTCTGCCTCCTGAGCTCGCCAACAATACTCTTAGGGTCAGTCACACTCCAAACCTTCTGTCTTCAATTCAATCAAACTCCTACCTCTACTTCGCTTCCATAAGTCTGAAAAACAGAATTAGTGTTTTGCTCCCTTTATCTGGAATTTTGGTTTCAATTTGTTCCCTTTTTAAGTTTAGAAGATTGACTAGCAATGGTAATTTTTACTGGAGTCACATGTTTCATGGTTTGACGTTTGTGATGTTTCACCTAATCTTATAAAAGGTGTGTTTGGAAGTATGTTGGAATGGCGATGAATGCAAAAGCTGTATTTTCCGATGCACAAATGGGAGATAATTAGAGTGTTAAATTCAGTTGAAAAGGGAGTTTTGTGGGATTAAACTGAAAATCCAAACACACTAAATTCATGTATTAAACTAACAGAAGGACCAACTTAGTGTTTTGAAGACTTAAATTAAACTTTTTAAACTTAAGGGACCAAATTGAAACACAAATTTAGATGAATGATCAAAATTCTAATTTATCCTTTTAAAAAGTAAATAAAATATCTTATTTACTTTTATGACCTTTGTTTTACAGCTCTACCGTGAATGCCTGCGCAGAGCTAAATATATTGGTCATCGGGTGAGCCATTATTCTCTTTCTCTCTCTTTCAAATAGATTCACTTGTAGCTAATTGCTGTCAACGTAATTTAAATATGGCACATGGGAATCCCCGCCATGGTGATTTTTTGAAAATTTGGTTGTATATGTCTCATGTTTATGATGCATGTTTCTTAGGGACATGTAATTAGTGTTGATGTTTAAGTATTGTGACTTAACGTGTTAGACAAACTCTGATCCTATCAGTGCACTGCATTATTTTCTTCATCTTTTACTTTGTGCTTGTGATGCTATTCACCCATGATCGTGGTATGCTTCTGCATTGGGGTAACTGTCGTATTATTGCTTTGCTAGTGATGCATTATTTTTACTGAAGCCCTGCATTAGTCACGACCAGTTGAGATAAACTTTTCGTGAACATTTTGAAAAGGAAACTAAGAAGTAAAAGGCGTTAAACTTCTTTCAAAAGTTGAAATTGACTTGTGCACTTCAGCTTTTAAAGAAACTTTCTTATCTACCTCTTCAAAAAGTTGATGAATGAGGTTTATTAGTTGATTTTAACTTGCGGAAGAAGTTTATTTCATTTTGGTTTTGATTTTCTTCTTGAGAAGTACTTGTGAAGAAGTTTACCTAAACAAGGTTAAAACATCTTCATGTCTGATGATGCTAGGACGTGAGAAACTGACTATGCTGTATGCCTTCTTGCTGTTGCAGAAACATAACACACAGCTTCTTGTTGATATGGTGAGACAACAGTTTAAGAAACACAAGCATGAGACAGATCCTGAGAAGATTCAGAAGTTGAAGGATGAGTAAGCTTGTATCTAGCATTGTACATTTATATTGTGCACGTTTGTTATTAGTGTGGCCCCTTTTCTTCTACTGCTCCATTTCCCCTTCACCAGCCAATACATTTCTAATGTCTCAGCTCAACAACATGGGCACATGTGTGTGAAATTTACTCTTATCTACTTATTTGTAGATTTGTTTCTGATTTTGCAGTGCTGCAAGGGGGCTTATCAATCACATATTGTATGAGTCAGAGCAAATGACAGGTTCTAAATTTAGCAAGACTAAGCAGCCTAACTAATGATTCGGTTCGTCCATGAGGGCAAGGTTTGGCAGATCAAGCATGTATCAAAAGTCTTCAAGGTTTTTATGGTTATTGGCTATTTTAAAATGTTATTTAAAAAAAATTGTGGAAAATAGGGCGATGGCTTCTTTTGCCGGTGCGACTTCCATATCCACACTGCTCAAGTTTCTTAAGTTTCTACCAAATGTTTCAGTGTAGAGCTAATAAACCTTTGAAGAAATAACAGTAATCCGTATTGCTTTTTTTTTTAAAAAAAAATTTCAATTTTAGTTTTTGGTTACATTGTAAAGGGCTTGTGCATGATTGCAAAGATGGCAAAGTCGAAGTCTATAATAAGCCCAGACGCTGGATTAATTAGGTTTCAGATTTGCACGCGTTTCTGAAGTTCCTGGGATTGTCACTTGTGAGTTTCTGAAGCTGCATTGTTTTGAAGTTTGGTAAAGAAAAATTTTCTCTGTGGTGTAGGTTACTCACTTTCATGCTAGATTTTTATGTTCTCCATTAACAGTATTTAATTGGTTAAAAACAGTAGAATATTTTTTTTTTCTTTTGACAAAAAAAAAGGAGAGAGAGATTAAATCCTTTTACAGTCAAACCAAGCCAAGATGTTGGTGTTGAAGGGTTACTGACAGGTCGTGAATGAGTTATGTTTGTTATACTAAACACGATTAACCAGTTCTCTTGGTCCAGCACCTGGTTAAAAAAAGCTTTCATATTAATAGCATTACTGTCTACTAAATCATTTGATAGGATGATGATGGGCTACTAAAGTTGTCTTTTTGAAAGACAGTGTCTCCATAATTATTACAAGAATGAAGAATGATTATTTTAAGAGCTTTTTTGTACAACGACAGATTTATGGAGACATTTTATCAGATAAAAGTTGAAAAAGTGGCAAGTAACATTTCAATACCTCATAATAGCATTGCCTAACATTAAAAATCAAAGGCATCAAACCATTCTAACGACTTTTTCTTTTTTATTCACAGACATTAACCACTTCTACAAAATCCTACAATAGATAATTTTAGAGTAACAATTTCCTTTTGTCAACAAATAGATTAAAATGATTTTGAGACAAAGTCACCTTTCATGTCAATTAACTATTATATTTTTTTACACACTTTTAACTTAATAATTTATATTATTTATCATATTTCTTGTCTTTAAGAATGGTAAATGAGTTTTACAAGACGAATTAATCATGAATGTCTTAAAGGTATACTTTTATTATTATTATTATCATTGATTTTGATTAATATTCTTCATGAATTGATGTAGGTGGATGAAGACAAAAATTAAGGGAAGAAATTCTTAGATCTCATGGAATTTGCACAACAAATCATCGTTCACCTATAGCAATTTCTAGATTCGCACTACCTCTTCTAATTATAAATTCATTTAGTGAGAAATTGTTCTTCTAGTGAATACTATTCAGTGACTATCTATTCATTTAGTGAAAATATTTTGAAGAGCAATAACCAATTTAATGACTAAGCCACTCAATGAATCGTCTAAATTCTGAGTATAGTTTTGGAGTTGGAAAAGTTAATAATAAATCGACAACAAACTCGACATTGAGTAGGTTTCTATTAGAAAGAAATATAGTTAGATATTGTATTAAATGAAATATAATTATAGTTATTCTGTGAAAAATATTAAAGGAAACTATACTTACAATCATTTAGTAAGATAAGATTATTATAGTTGATATTATTCTGAAGTGAAACATTTACTAAATAAAATAATGATATTTAAGAAGCATGATAAACAAATCACTGAGTCAATAACAAATTAAAATTGAATTGAAATATGTAAAAAAAAAACATTGTAAAATAATAATCTAGGAAAAAACTAAATAACATGACAATAATAACTGTATGAACAATAAATTCATTGATTAACATAAGAGTTTGATTCGTAACATATAGGTGGATTGAAAACATGTTAAAAAACATATATTATGAGTTATTTTTGTTTATAATAGTTTAATCTATGATCATTTATGGCTTTTGTAGTTATATATAGTGTATCTGAAGCTTGTTATACAATTATTTTTATAAGCTTTGAAGTCATTTCTAGTTTACTCTTTAAATTTTATTGTTGTTAACTCTTAAAAGTTATTTTATCTTTAATTCATTATAAAGTTTTCTCTAAAGTACTTACTACCATTGTTATGATTTTTAAATTTTCTTGTTTGATTCTTACTTCGTTTTTCAATTGCTTTTCTATAATTCTAAATGTTCAAATTTTAACATTTATTTGTATATAATGAAATTTGTTTGATTAAATACTTTTAATTATATCACGAATTAAATTTAAATTTATGCCGGAAATTCTGATAGATTTAATTCATAAAGCTAATTTAAATTGAATTTGATGGATTAATTCTATCTACCTATGTAGAATCTGAAAAAAACTAGATAATTAACTATTATAATTGTACTATTCCTCTAGACTTTAGAACTCAAAAATCTGGATAAAACCCTCAAACCTAATGTTAAAATTGGAAAATCAAGTATTAGAATGATAATCAATGTTCCTTAATTCCTAGAAACTACCTGCTTTTCATGACATAAATATGTTTGATGCATTTATGCCACTAAGCATTGAAGAAGAATCCTTGTATTAGAAGCCTACAATAATAAGTTACTATGAGAAGGATGTATGAGTGTTCATCTTGATTTCTTCAAATTGGATGATGGAGTAGCTTCTCCAGGGCTTAAAGATCCTCTCCCAACACTTTGATGGCTTTTGATTTTTCTGAGATGGCTTATACCTTATCTGGTAACCTTGGACTTTGAACACTGGTTAACTCTTGGGATGTGATTGGAGTGGAGCTCATGAACTTAGGACTGCAAACATGTCTTATCTCACCCCTGCTTTTGGTGATTATTCCATCTACAATTTCTCCATCATCTGCAAAGGAAGCTGTCTTGCTCAAGTCCCCTTCCTGCACAAACAGAGCAAGCATCATAAAAGGAACCTAAGTGTGATATCATTTCAAACCATCCAAGTGGACATTCAATGCCAATTATACAAAGTATGAATGCCTGTTTGCATTTATCTGCCTTCAGCATGTAGCTAAATAAGGTGAACTCGGGTATAGTATTGAACACTTACAGTAGCTAGGCTGAATGGTAAAGCAGATACTTCTTCATATTCTGCAGCATCTAAATCTTGAAGGTGTGCTCCTTTGAAAACCTTGGGCAGAATGTATTGCCTAACGGGAACCAGAAACATTATCATCAATGGGAATAGAACCCCAGCTGTTGGAATCCAAGTGATACCAAAACAAACAAGCAAGTAAGCAGTCTGGAAGACTGTAAACACTGCAATTGTCTTGAATGGAACGGTTTCCAAATAAGTTGCATGGCACTCCTCCAGAACTCTACATTTGTTGCACAGTGTGAAAGATAAAGCAAGGTAAAGTCAGTGAATGCAACTTTAACTGTCCCAAAAAGAAGGAAAACAGATAGGAAACTTTTAACATCATATCCATACTTGTATCTTCTGCTTGGAGCAGTTAAAATGAATAAAATCCGTTCCCAGAACTGGTTGCCAGGTAAGTTTTCAATGGCCATGAAAGCAAAATAACCCCATAGCACAGAAGTTGGAATCATTTTCAGGAAAGGCATTGCTGCTACACATCCTACTACCATCACTGACTGGAGCAGGTTGCTCATTCGTTGCTCTTTGACCTCAACAGGCAATAAATCATCAATTTCCTTCTTGACATCAAATATTGACTCGTCAACTGGAGCATTTATACTCCCCATGCTTGATGCCAATTGAATTGTCGACTCTTTCAACTCTTTAAGTCCCTGTTAACAAAGTTTAATAAATGGTGGATGATTACATTGCATGCCACTTTTTGTTTGAACTAGAGACAATTAGGAACATATTCAGTTAGTTAAACCATTAAATCAATGATACAATATTCAAGTTCTCCTGTTCTGAAGAGTGAGAATGTCATACAGGTGAAAGGGGGTGGGGAGAGTGACAGAAAAAGTCCACAATCCCATGTACCTTTGAGGAAGATTCTTCGTGAGCTAGAGGGGTTTGCATCTGCCAGTACGCATCTTGCATACTCCCATATACTTGTCCCAAACTTTCTTGTTTTCTCATAGAACTTCGTGCTGCAGCAACAAGCCGGTTCCTAAGTAACTGCAAATCACCCAAATATAAGTATGATGATAGTAGCAGCACATTAATCACTATGTATTCTGTTTTTACTTTCTCCTTAAAGATTGTACTAAGGAAATGTCTACCTGGTGCTTCAATGTAGCTAAACTTTTGGTATGCATTGGAGATTGTGGAATAACACCGTTGGACGGAGGAATTCCAATTAGACCACATATTATAACCTGTCATTCAGTTAACATATCAATGTGTCACAACACAACTAAGGATCACACTCGGTTTACAAGAAGATCAGGAGACCACACACAATATCAATCTCAAATTGCCAAGGGAAAGAAAGAGCATTGGGCAAAAGTCAAAGAACTAAGCAATTTTGTATAAAGCAAAGGATCAAAAAGAGCAAAGAGCTTTGTGTACCATGAAGCCCAATAGAAGTAAATCATAATGGAAAGAAGGTGGCTTTCTTAAATTGAATTCTTTCTGCTGAGCAAGCTGAGATGCCACACTATGGTCGAAATAATATAGAACAGCAATCATTGTTGCTGGAATAAATGCTCCAATAATATAGAGAACTGGTACTTTCAGCATGTCCTGTTGTGATTTTGAATATTTTATTAAAAACTTCCGTGGAAGAACTAAGAATATAAAAGATGAAAGAAAAGTTTAACAATCCTATTTCCCAACATAAAATAATTTCCACAGAAGAGCTCATGCCTTTATGACAGTCCAGTTTTCAAATGCACCAGAGGACCATGGATTTGGACTGAAAAGACGCCTAGGAACTCCTTTTGGAATACTTCCAGCTGGAATATAAGAAATGGCAGTCCATACTAGAACCATCAATGGGACACCATAATCTGCTATGAAGCCTCGTAAACATCCTGTAATAGGAGGAAAATGATCTAAGAACTACTGAAAATAATGGGAAATGATCAAAACATTAGTTGAAAGGATCTTTTTCAGTTATTTTCAAGTAAAAAGAAAATCCTCAGTCGATCATATTTAACCTCCAGATGTTCCAATTCCATTTTCAATGTAAATTTGATAGATGTATGAAGGTCATAAAGCTTGAGCATTGTAGGTTCAAGCCTTCATTGTTCATTAAAGAGAATTCATCTTACAAAATAAACAGTAGCAACAAAATTTTTACTAAGACAGAAATTCACAACTTCGAAGGTTCAATGCTTCAAAGATAACTTT